AATGGCTTATCTTTTGCCTGCAATTATTCATCGAGTCGAATCATATCTCATTGCTCTTGAAGCAACAGACTTGTTACATCTTGACATTCGTCCAGATCTTGCGCTAGAAGCTGTAACCAAGGATTCTGACAATTCTGGAGAGCATGGCGAGGAACAGACAAACTTTCAAAGAGGAATGGGCAATAATTATGAACGATTGGAGTTTCTTGGGGACTGCTTCTTGAAGATGGGAACATCAATATCTCTATACGGTCTGAACCCTGATAGTGACGAATTTCGCTACCATGTTGATCGTATGTGTCTAATTTGCAACAAAAATCTGTTCAACACGGCTTTGAAACTGGAGCTTTATAAATACATTCGGTCAGCAGCATTCAACCGACGTGCCTGGTATCCTGAGGGCCCCGAGTTATTAAGAGGAAAGACAGCAACGGCACCAAATACCCATAAGCTCGGTGATAAGTCAGTCGCAGATGTTTGTGAGGCAATGATTGGCGCTGCTTTACTAAGTCATCACGAAAGCAAATCCATGGATAATGCAGTTCGTGCCGTTACCGAAGTCGTCAATAGTGATAACCATAATGCTGTTGTATGGTCTGATTATTACAAATTGTATGAGAAACCAAAGTGGCAAACTGCTGTAGCTACAGCTGCACAAATTGATATGGCAAGGCAAATTGAGGTGAAACATCCATATCATTTTAAACACCCACGCCTGTTAAGATCAGCTTTCATACATCCGGCATACTTGTTCATCTACGAGCAAATTCCTTGTTATCAACGTCTCGAATTTTTGGGTGACTCGCTACTCGATATGGCATGTGTCAACTTCCTTTTCCACAACCATCCAACAAAAGATCCTCAGTGGCTCACTGAGCACAAGATGGCTATGGTATCCAACCAGTTTCTTGGAGCTCTCTGTGTTAAATTGGGCTTTCACAAACATCTACTGACACTCGATTCTCAAGTTCAAAAATTGATTGCAGATTACTCCTCGGATATCAATGAAGCTCTCATTCAAGCCAAAGCAGACGCAAAGAGAGCCGGTAAAGAAGAAGTTGATTATGCTCGTGATTATTGGATTGCCGTTCGTCAACCTCCTAAATGTCTTCCCGATATAGTAGAAGCATTCATTGGTGCCATTTTTGTCGACTCTGAGTATAACTACGGTGAAGTTGAGAAGTTCTTTGAAATGCATATTAGATGGTACTTTGATGATATGAGTATCTATGATACCTATGCTAATAAGCACCCAACCACTTTCCTTACAAATTTCTTGCAAAAGAACATGGGATGTGAGGACTGGGCACCAGTCAGTAAGGAAGTACCTGGAGAGGATGGTAGAAAGAATGTTGTGGTTTGTGGGGTCATTGTGCACAATAAGGTGGTATCAACTGCCACTGCCGAAAGTATGAGATATGCTAGGGTAGGAGCAGCAAGGAAAGCCCTAGTGAAGTTGGAGGGGATGAGTGTCAGAGAATTCAGAGAGGAATATGGATGCGCATGTAAAGGGGATGTTGTTGATGAAGAGGGCAATATCGAATTTGTTGAACGTGAAGACGGAATGGAGGGCATTAGTATGGGATATCGAGAAGAGGTTGTTGGCAATCTTCTGAAGGAAAATGAGGGTGGTTTAAATGGAGATGAAAAGGAAAATGAAGCTGTAGGACCGTTGAGAGCACAAAAACGAAAGTTACTGGAAATTTGAAGCATGGAATTACAGGCATGAAGAAACGGACGGAGAGATTTTTGATAATTCACTCACGACTTTAAGACCACGAATTAAGCACGACACGATTTGGCATTTTGCTCGCGATGATGGGTAGACAGCATTGCGTTTCTCGCAATTCACGACACGACTTTCACGGCCTTGACTTTTTACGGCCAGATGATTTCATAGATTTCTAGTGAGTGAGAGGTGACGACACGATGATATTCCAAAAGTTTCTCACTCACGAGTTTCATCTTTTTTGATTCAATAAGGTTTCTTTGCCTGAAAGCACACTTACGTGTGATATCATCTGCAGGGGACACAGCGGAGTTTTTCATCGATCACAATAAGATGCGATGTGGTGCAAAGTGATGGCGGTTTCCCCTCACTTAGGTTAGATTATACATGCATGGATAATACATAGCGAGCTAGCTTTTTCTTCAATGGTAGTTGAATAGCAAAAAGATATGGCTAAACTTTCTCATGTATGTATTCGAGAAATGGTGATTTAGTTTTGACTGACTTGATGGTTTCATTATATATGTATGTGATATTTAAGTAAATATTGAAGTGAAATCGAAATGCAACGCCAAAATGCTATTAGTTCCATGATATGACATGACATCCAAACTCCGATTTGAAATGCTCCAGCTTCGCTTTTTAAAACTGGTAAAATGGACATTATTTCGTCTAGTTGTAGTTTTTCGTTTCTCCTCTTGCTGAGTGTGGATGATAGTATGGTATGATGTGAACTCAGAATTCTAGAGAAGACTATCATCTCATCTCAGCTTTCATCATATCTCCGACTTTCCATGCCAATATGCATCCTCGTGCTTAAACCAGAACTCTCCTCAACCCCCCAACACCACCCAATACCCTCCTTCCACTAACCGCACATCTACCTGCGCCGCTTTCCCATTTTCCTTCTCTTGTTTCCCTATATTTCTCCTTTTCCTTCTCATCTTCTTTCTCATCACTCGCTACAACCTCTGCCCCTCCTTTCATAAATGTCTCTTGTAACTCATGTACCCCCTCGATCCAACGATGAATGCAAGTATAACAGTAGACATAACCGGTCTGACAAGCCGTTGGGGTGGTGATTTCTTGTAAGCAAATCGGACAGTTTTCTAGAGACTCTGTGCTTGAGGAAGAAGGTGCAGGAACAACGTAGATTGGGAGGTGGGTAAGAGTCGAGATGGGTGGGTTTGTGGGCTCCTCTGAGGATTTATCTTCTGGGGATGTTGGAGATGCGGTTTCCGGCTTTGATGAGGATGATGGTTTGGAGGGAGTAGTGGCTGGAGGTGTATACGAAATGACAGGCGGTGGTAGCTCCAATCCCTCCGTCGCTTTCTTCGACAATTGTCTCGCGAAATCACTCGCATGCCACCATTCCAGAAACTTGAGCGCAAAGATACTCGTTGGTAACAACAGCTTCAATCCAGCCCCTAATCTTCCCATCGCCAATCTCGGATCCAACAGACTTCTTATACCCAGGTTACCTCCTGGTGTCGTAGATGAGGGGGCGTTTGCAAGGGCTTCAAATGCTTGGAAGTCTGCTTGACTTAATCTTCGGATGCGAGTGCCTATAAGCCAGAGAAAGGGGTCGGAATAAACTCCTGAGCCGGATTTTGAGTTGGAGAATAGGTAGCGCAAATTGAAGGCTAAGATGCTGAAATAATACGCGGCGTTGACGCTGGGATATACATTAGTCAGAAACCAGCGATAGTAATGGAGAAATCGTTGGCGGAGTGTAGGATTTGGTGGCATGCGGGTGTAATTTGCGCCCAGGAGGGCGCGAGGTGCATTTATTTCTGCGGACTCATCGAGGCGACGTTTGAGATAGGGGATTCCGACCAAGACAGCGAGATTTTTCCATACGTCTTTCGTTGTAAGTTTTGTTGCTTCTCGTAGACTGGCGTTGGCGCCTTCGGCAGTCAATTTTAAGGAGCCTACTGCGGCGGGTAGGGCTCGTTCGCGTTTTAGAGAGTAGAAGTTCTCGACGAAGGAGGAGGAATAGGTTGATAGGTAATGATGTTCGATTGCTAGGAAGAGAAGGGCGTGGAGTTCGTGGAAAGAATTGAGGATTGGAAGGAGATGGCGTGGATATCGATGGGTAGCAACGGTCAGGAGATAATGTAGCGAGGGAGGAAGTAGAGATGATAGTTGAGTTGAGGAGAGGAGTTCGAATAGGGAGGGTTTGTAGGGGTCGAGGGGTGGTTCTGAAGACATTATGGATGCGCGGTGAGATTTGCTGTGCGAGGTATTGGATGGCTACTTTGGGTCGTAGAAGCTGTAGTGAGCAGCTTGGATTGGAATGGCAAGCTTTGATACACAATGCTGATAGTTGTATTCGTGGTGTTCGTAAAAGTTCGTGTGAGAATTCAATCCTCAGCTTCGCGATTCGATTGTGATGAGCTTGTGCTTGATAGAGACGCCAATGTCGAAATTATCAGATGAATATTGAAAGATATTAAAATTGACACTATTTGTGTTTCATATGGCATAATAAATAACCGCAGACATTATAGATAGATATGAAAAAGGAGTTGAATGTTATAAGAATCTGTTAATAAGAAGCTGTCAAAGTATGAAGGTATCGCGAGGCTGCAATGCCGAGGTTGAGAAGTGAAGTCTGTGATTACATAATATCCTATCACGTGCAAATTTTATGCTTCGCGAAGTTCGCCTAGCTTGACGAGTGAGCCCCGCAAATTTCTACTTTTGAAAAAAAAAACCTGGGGTAGCTCATACTATTTCATGTACTATATGGAGCTAGTCTTCCTAGTCATGACCAGTTCATGACGAGAACAGTAAAATCTGGTTTCCCAACAATCAGGCTGGATTTATCATGGATATCTCAGATATTGCAATCATTCTGTGTGTTCATTCCATGCTTCATATTCCATTCATTCATTTATATGCTTGATCGGATCGAAATCTGAGGAATCAGTCTACAATTTGATAACAAATTGAAAAGTAAGTACACCAGAAAACTTAGAGTATCTGGATCTGCACCAATCAGTCAAATGGTCTATAGACTAGTGATGCTCCGGTGTGAACCGAACAGTCAAAAAATGGTACTATGAGGATTAGTCTTCTCTCAGCTTTCATGACGTGCGAGAATCTCCAAAACTTTTATTTTTCTCCGTATCATCCTTCCAAAATTATTCAAGTGAGTTCATACATTTATATCTATTCATACATTCATATACATTTACACATTCGCATATACTCATACCTGTCTATACGGGTATTATATCAGTGTTTCCTATCACTTCACATTTCCAAGATGTCTTCCTCTTATGGGATCTTCAGTTTCACAAACAAACGTAGCGAATCCTCAAACTTGACCTCTGCTCCTATCACAAACAGAAGCGAACGCTTCACTCTTCTCAATCTTCCCAACGAAATTCTGCATACTATGTTCAAACGGCTTCTTAAGGAGGCCCAAGACAGAAGCTCAAGATTCTCTAACTATGGAATTCAAACGAGATATATCAACGATGCACTCAATGCGCTATCAATATCCAAGGATGTGCGAGCTACATGTTTGCCAGAATTTTATCGAGAAACACTCATTCCGATTACATTGGAACTCGAGGAATCTGGATATCTAGGATACCCTGAGATATATGAATCGGAAGGAGGCTGGATAGCCAGAGTAGAAGAGGCAGACTTCAATTTCGAAGCAATACCGGTCCAGGGTGTGCATGAAGAAGACCCTGATCTTATTGAAAGTAATCGACAGAGATTGGACAAGTTCTTAGTTCATCACGGCAGTCAAATCAGACGCATAAAGTTGAACATTAGTGGCATTGGGGATCATGCTGCTCCAATTTTATCTGGGGACGCGGACTCGTACAGACTGTTTGAAGGGAGAATCAAAAAGCTTGTTGAGCAATTGTTAGGAAGGAGGGAAGGGGAAACACGAAGAACGAGGAAAATACTCGAGCTTCGGTTATGTGTTCAACCAGACCGTGAATACCGCAGACCAGAAGAAGAAGAAGAAGAAGACGAAGACTACAATCGCTACAGTTTTGAGTGTGCGTGCTTCAACATTCTAACGTCACTTCTCGAACCCTTGAGAGAGCATCTCGATTCAGGACAATGTGCGAAGTTGGATTGGAATGGGGTCTATGTTCTCAAGGCTACCGATATCAATTGCAGTATCTTTTCTTACGAGAGCATTTCATTTGTCAGGGAAATGATTGGTGATCTGACATTAGAAGAAGAGAACGCACGATGTCAGTGGGAAGATGAGCAATTGTCACGAAATATCGAGGTGAACAAAGATCTCGTATCGTTGCCTGTAGTGAGAAATGAAGATCAATGGGTCAACTTCTGGAGGAATCACAGGGATGTAAATCCGTACCGTCTAGCCTGTATCAATTTTCTATATCCTAGGGGTATTTCTCAGGCGTACATAACACATCCTATAGATTCTGAATGGGTTCTAAAGATTCTAGAATCGTCTTCTTTCATATGGGACATTCATGAACTTCGACTCGTTCTTGATTTATTGCGTGAAAGGAAAAGAAAGCATTGTCTTGAAAACTAAATTGTCAATTCTCTTCACTTTTGTACTTTGAAATTGGAACGGCGTTTATCTTTTTGTAGTTCTCAAAGTTGGATTTTGGTAACAGGAAGCATTCCAAGATTGAGCGTTGGAATATTTTTCACCTTACCATGTATATTTATGTTTTTTTTTTTCGCATAGCACTTACAGATATCAATAGCGGATGTCAATAGTATTGTAATAGATTGAACAACTATCCAAAAACCATGTCCTCCTGAACAAAAAATGAAGCCTATAACTATCAAGTATCATAATCCAGAACGATTTTTTAGGAAGATATTCTATACGTCATTCTTAAGACCCGGAAAAGTGTTATCAAACATTCCGACCTATGGAACTCACTTTATGTAAAATCGTACCGGATTATACCCAGGTAGTAAAAATTAACCTTAAAATTAGAGTTCGGCGTCAATAAGAGGTTCAACATTTCCTGCTCGATGTGTGAACAAGAACAACAGACCTCAAGAATATGACTCGGCAGACATTTAAAAAGTCGGGCATGGCTTCGCTGTAATCGAATACCTTGATGCACTTTGATTTGTATTGAGATGTTGTTTCACTCACTATCTGTTCACCCGGAGAATTTGACGAGCAGTGTCATCAAAACCATTTTCTTATAGATTAATCACAGAAACACTCCACTCGCTTAGATCAATGCTATCTTACTCCAAGATCCGCAGCCCCTTCATCTACTCGATTCCTCACAAACAATACATCTCCCATTTTTCTCCCATCACATATTGTGTTATAAATTCAAAACCAGACAATTATTTTACCAAAATAAGTCATCTACAAAACTCCAAAAACACAAACCCAGATAACGTAGGTGGTGTAAAGCAAAAGCGCCACCAACGTCCACCAACGTTCACGGCACAGATTTGTGGGACCCCCTTAACCTACCCCGGACAGAATCCGGACCCATTTTTATAAGGCTGATTTAACCTACATTAACGACTGCCTAGAAATTCACTCAAAAGGGACTTTTGAATTTCTTTTTTCCGCAAGTTGCTTACTTTTTTGGTTTGTTTTACTTCTCGTGCTATTTTTGCAATTGTCTGAACTTCGTCGAATTTTTGATTAGAGTAACGTTATTGAGTGGGTTAGCGATATCGAAAAGATTGACGCCATCATCATGACCTCTCAGGCCCCTTCTCATGCACCCATTGAGAATAAGGAGTCAACGATATTTAGCGAATCAATAGAGATTGGTCACTCCACTCCATTATCAGATGATTTCCAAATCACAAATCACTCCCCCAACACCGGCACCGGCTCTGCTCCACCACCTCCACCACCTCCTCCTCCCCCCGTTTTCTCCAGACCGTTCACTCCCGCAAAATTACCACCCACTCCATCTCCTCCACCTATCGGCCCCCCAAATACCTTTCTCACAGAACTCCTCACCTACAACGGCCACCCCTACAAAGACCACTGGGCCTATTTCATCCGCTCTCCCTCCAACTCCTCCATCGGCGTTCGTCTCCACGCCACCGGAGATGTAAGGAATGGATTCCGTTTTGAAATCCAATGGGGTTATAATTTATATACCACTGAGGATATTCCTACAAAGAGGATTCCACTGCAGTGGATTGATGGTGGGAGCATACTAGATGCTGGGGGATGTGGAGTGGATGTGAGTGAGGATGTGGATATGTATAGGAGAACGGTCTGTGCATTTGAGAAAAGTGTAAGAAAAGAAGAGGTACCCGGGAAGACGTTAAATTCTGTGGAAGATGAGGTATGTAGGATCTTTCCATATTAAATTCCATTCAAGTATCGAGACTTTTGTTTTCTACCACATCACACATCTACCATTCTAACACACCCTCTCCAAAGACCAACCCCGGCAAAAAAATCACCCAGAAAGATTGTCAATCATGGCTCGTCGGGGCCGCCGACCACTTAGTGCAGGATGGGATTTTCGGTCCCGAGAGTGCGGGGTTTCTTCACGCGGTTAGACAGTGATCTAACATCGCACTACTTCATAAAATATCAGACCATACCTAGATAGAGAAATCACATCACGCTTCGGAGTTGTAATCGGCGTTAAGTATATGTATCCCATTCTTTCCTTGTGTGTTTCTATCGCAGGATTCGGAGATAGAACGAGTAGATCATTTTTCTTTCTGCATTTCTACCCCGAGAATCGTTTCTTTAGTAAACACTTGAATATCAACCTAGTACCTACCTAGGTAGTTATCAATAACAATCCAGAAATAATGCATACCCCCATCCCATCCTATCCTCTCATTCCCGCTTACCTTATATCCTTCCATGTACCTAGTAATTCCATCCATACACCCAAGATGGAAAGTCTCCCTCCGAAGTCCGCACTACTCTAGAATTCCATACTATCTTATCCTATCCTATGCTAACCTATCTATCTATCTACCAAGAATCAACCATCGACGATCTCTCTATCTATCATTCTATACATACAAACAAACGTACATACATCACACACTCACTTTCCAATTTTCCACCCCCAATCCAACTTCAAAGTGTCAACTCTCAATATATCATCACAGTCATAATCACAATCACAGAAAAATCACATGATCACACCATCACGATTGTAAAATTTTGAGAAAAAACATTATCATCATATCATAACACATAAGATCCATTCCCTATCCTAACTTCCACTTCCCAGCCCAAGAACAACAAAAAACAATCGGCTCGATTAAAGTCCGATGTATCATATCCCAACTCATCCCATCCCATCCCATCCATTCGATACTCAAGTAATCAGCCCTTGATACTTCCATATCCATATACGTAACCATTCCATCCATCCATCCATCCATGCTTTTCTTTTTCTCAATTCCGGTCCTTATTAAGACCTTGCTACCTGCGTGCCTACTACGCAGCCACGACGCTATCCTTCCCAAAAAAAATCAAAAAGACAAAAGAAATTAATAATCCAAGCGATTATTATAAATGAATGTTTCCAATCCAAACAATGGATTTCTCCCAACCCAGACATCAAATCCTAACACATCCAGTCCCCCAACTCTCCCTCCCACACCTTCCCCCTCCTCCTCTCCTTTCTAATTTCCAACTCCAAATCCCCCACACCCCTCTCCTCAATCTCCACCCCAAACGTCTCCGTCTTCTCAATCTCCAACGACCCAATCGAAATCATCGACGACAGACTATTACACCTCGTCGTCGCGCCACCCATTCCCATACTGATCCCGCTGCCGCGGAGTCCCAGACCCGCGATGCGATTCCGAGAGTCGATGGAATTGCGGGAGTCTTCGAGGATGGTGTGGTTGGAGGAGGAGAGGGAGAAGGCTGCTGCGGTGGAGAGCCCAGAGGTGGAGAGCCCGGATGTGGATCCTTTGCGTGAAGTGGAGTAGGAGGAGTGCGAGCAGTGGGAGGAGGTGATGGATGTTATGGTTGAGGAGGATTGGATGCGTGGTTTGGAGTCGAATGTGGGTGAGGGATGGGGAGAGTGGAGAGAGGTGCTGGATGGGCTTGTGGATAGACTTGTGGAGCGGGAGTTGGAGCGTGATGAAGATGGTGATTTGAGCTTACTGGAGAGTGGAGTGTTAGTGTGAGATATGAGGAAGAATATATTATGGGAGAACTTACAAGAGTTTTTTGATTTTTTGTATATTCGACGTCGATGACGATGATGATGAGGAAGACATTTTGGTTGTGTACAACGACGATGTTATTTGATTTTGGATCAGAGAGGTTCAGTGTTCAACTTGTGCGGGTTGGAAATGATATAATTTCAAAAGGAATTCTTTATCTCCAAAAATATATAGACGGGTATAAGTAAGAACTTAAATGATCTTCCCATTCTTCTAGGAAAATCATGCCATATAAGTAAAAAAGAAATACCACGTTTGAACCCACCAAGCTTCAGGCACGAAAACTCTATCCAATACTTACTTTGCCATAACCGTACGATTCTCAGGTGTCACTCACTTGGCCGAGGACTAAGAGATCGCAAGCTCCAAATATCAAGGATTTATCTATCCACACACTAACATTAATTTCATGGCGCTTGCTTCGGAGTTTGCGAGCCCAGGATCGGGCATCAGTTGGGAGATCTCGAATTCGACTACGTATAAAAGTCATCCGTTGTTTGATGCGTTCGCTAAGCATAGTACGTGAAAACTATAAAATCTTGAGTCTATGAGCTTGGCCTTGTGCGGAGCTTGTGCATCTAAAAGGTTTTCAAGCAAGCCGGGAGTTTGTAAACTAGATGATTTTCTAAGGTTGATGGTCCACTAGGCAGAATGTATGATTAGAGCGCAGAATGGTCGGGGTGCAGAAACATTGGGGTTTAGGTTGATTGGAAGGCTACATCTCGTTTACACGACGATTGGAGTATAGAAACCTTACTAATGCAAACCTTAAAGAAAGTTCGCGCACAGACGCAGGTACAAGCATTGGCCAACTGTAAATGGCTATAGCTTCCAGATTTGGTAGATGAACCTGTTGATCATTGTATGACTACTGTAGATTAAGACAATGATAGGCTGGAGTATGCGACAGAAATTCCATAACCAGCTCACGCGGTTATGGCGGATGGCGTGGCTCGTGACATAATGGGTGCAACCGAAGCTTGGAAGGTTCACATTTTGTCCTTAGCTCTGGACACAATATATACCTGCAGCTGTATTGATACTAGTAGCTTGTTATGGAACGGTTATCGAAGGATGTTGCGGGGTGCGTTCGCTTGCGAGTGGTGATAGAGTTCACGTATACGATACGCAAATACAATCCTTCAAACTTTGGACCTCAAAAGTCAAGATTTAATGGAGAAGGATACGATGAATAATGCATGGGATACTGAGATTGCACTAATGCAACGTCGATCGATCTGAATTTGTAGGTGAAATCAAAGACATTATGATGTACAAGGACAGTAACGGTTTGTATAGTAATGCTTTGTCGTTTAGTTGATTAAGTCTAAAGCTGTAGGACTTCCTATTGGATCATGTACGAAGCTGTTTGTGAGTGGAGGATTTGATCCAGGATGCCAATGATAGATGGAGGTCGAAGAGCGAGGAGTAAGAAATTATGGATAAAAAAAGGCCAATCCAAGGTTGAAATAATGATCTTCTTTGATAAGCTTTTCATAATATATTATACAATCCGTCTAACTAAACATGTATAGTACAAGGTAATTATATACGACCAGATCTACTACATGATATCCTTAATAAGTTTCCCTCAGGCTGCTAGCATTGCGACGAATATTATGAAAAGATAGGCAACGGGTGGCGCATTTTAAACAACCTTTGACACGTAGGCCATGTGATTTTGTAAGAACTATCTACTAGAATCCTGTGTAGTATAAGGCTGAATCATCTGCATTCGGGTACCTGAGATTTGAGTTCAACGTTGGAGTTATGATTTGTTTTTATGATTCGTTTTTATGAGGATTATGCATAGAGCGGAGGGATGCGATATCAAAGGTATGGAAGATGAGTATCTACCGTTCTACAACTCGAACTAACGGGAATGAAATGGGGATAACAGATGAACAAGAGGATTGAAGAGATTGCAAGGTACTTCCTCATTCTCCTTGTAACATACGCGTACAATAAGATAAACTTATTCCCGATAATTATCCTGATGATGAAAATCTTGACTATCACAATCGATAACTCGAACAATAATCCGAATAAAAAATTATCTTCCAGTGAGTGAATTGCATGTTCACATAATATTTCATGGTAGGACGGATCTGAGTGCCGACCCCCTTAGATCTTTCATTATATGTATCCTCGTTTGAGACGGCATTGAACTACCAAGCTTGCGATAATCAGGTATATGATAGACAGCATAAGGTCTCACACTAGTGCCTTTTGCTCTTAGTGCTGAAAATCAGTGATCTAGGTCGATCTAATGAGAGCCATGAAGCTTGGATACTTTGAGTCTTTGTGGAGTCATAGATGTATATCTATTCACGAATAATGGTTGATTGGTGCTGATAGCCCTATACTCATAGATCTCAAGCTCATATCATCACTATGTTTCCAATTCTGTCCGTTAATTGTAGATTACTTCGAATATAGCGGCATCGATATCTTAGATGATCATCCTCAACACTCTAGCTAACGGGAATAAAGAGACAGTCAGTAGGAAATGGAAGAACAGAAACTATTTTCGTGCACTTCAGACGGAGTGGAGACTGTTCAAAGTATAAATTTTTGACATCATACCAAGATTGCTATCCAAAATCTAGGTGTACTCTTTACTAAACACTCAAAACCTAAGAAATCAGGAGTGAAAATGTCGGACAAGACCGAGAGCTAATGCGAACTAAATTTCGGAACGTATGACTTCTGTTGATCTGCTGTCAACTCGGTCTTTGGTCTTTGACAGATGAAGAATCTTAGTGGAGATCTTTTTGTATCTCGAGTTTTGACATCTTCATTGGACTGGAGGGATTTATTTGTGGTACATAGTACAAAATCAAGGGGCCATTTCTCGCCAAGATTTTGTTCTCTTGTGTGGATATCCACGTTCAAGATGATCTATCGCTGTATCGCTATGATATACACAGCCGATGAATCCTACGTAGCAATTCAAAGAATTGTACTAGAGCTGGTGAGAAAGCGATATATGATCGACGCCCTGTCTCTATCATGTAAAAATGGTGTGACGAACGAGTAGTTGCAGTCTGAACACATGCTCTTTGAGATCTGGCGCACTTTGCCATGGAACGCCAATATACCGGTAAAGTACCGGTCATGCATTATCCTTAGTCCAATTGTTGCTTCTTAAACAGAATGTAACGGTGAGGAACCCCAGGATGAGCCATGCACCATAAGTACATTCATTTTAATGAATCACGTGTCGGACACAAGAATCAGGAAACATGGTTCGTCCCAATTAAATAGAAGACAAGGAGAATCCTTCTGATATGTATGCTAGAAGTGAAACAGACGTGCAACAAGACAAAAAGCAATTGAAAGAAGACGAGGATGCGAAGAATATATCACGTGAACGATATCAAAACCATACCTTGACGGGCAAAGATCAGAGTCGACAAACTCAAAAGATGGAAAATAGAGATAGATAGTAAGAATGCTTAGGTTCAAACCTCTACGAATGGATTGACGCCCATCAATGTAACGTTTCGCTCTATTAGGTGCAGATCATCAACTTGATGTTCTAGACTTGAGAGGAATGAAGAATTCTCAAGATTCGCAAAAACACATATTATACCGTCCACATTGTCCTTTGTGGGATGAAGAAGTGATATTCAAGTATCAAGAATCTTACAATGTGACTCAAGCCAATCTTTCTTCCAGATACACCACTTCTCCCATTATGAGATACGATTTGTGGCATTACGAAACACCCAAGTCCAATTTCTTACCTACCATTCGCGTTTCTAACCTTAGAAACATGTTATTGCGTACTCCCGCTTCAAATTTTGATCTACGGCCTATTTTGAGAGGGCCGACATGAACTGCGTAGTAGATATGCAAGCACTGGCATGAGATTCGTCATCCTCAAGCTCATTCGGACATGTACGTTTTGCATGCGATACATCCTGTGCCGTGATGTGTGAGGGGTTGAGACGGGATGACGGAAGATTATGACGGGAGAATTGATAAACAAATAGTTTTCAAACACGGATGTCATTTGTTTCAGAGAAAAGAGATGAGATGAAGACATTCTGACGATTTGATGTTGTCGTCGTGTTTGAAGTTTTCGAACTAAGCGGCTCGGGACAAGAGATGGTCAAAGACAATGGAAGACAAGAGTTCCAAATTTCACGTGTGGCGTAAGTGGATATAGGTTAAGGTGAAGAGGAATTATTATATACTATTTTTAGACATGAATTGAATACATGAGAATAAATACATAAATATATAAATACATCATAAATACATAATAAATTTATCAACACATAAATACTAGATAGGTACATAGGGGCAATGAATGAATAAATATCTCGGCTTATTACTTCCATTTGGTAAGGATCAATTTATTCATTTTCCGTAACAATATCCGATATCTAACGAATGATACCCGATGTATTCGGGATCAATGAAAAGGGGAAGGTCGTTTGTTTCGGAAAGGTCTAGATGGATGGATGAATACTCTCTCGATAGATGAATAGATGAATAGATGAATACCGTAGATGCATGAGATTTCATTCCGTCGCAATACAACCATAGATATGAGAATATGTTCCGTACCAATCACGTACAAGGAAATGTGAATATATCTCCTCTTTACTGTTTACTCTTCTTCACTTTGTACATGTCCCTCCCATCTCAATTGTTATATATTTCTCCATCTTCCATCTCCATCCCCTTCCCTTGCCATACATACCTCCCACTCCAAACCCGTTCAAGCCGTTTTGGTGGAGAATATTGACCACCTAGGTAGTTTTGGTTCTAGTTCACGTTTTCGTTCTCGTTCCTATTCTCGTTCTCGTTCTAGTTCCACTTCAATCTTCATCGGCTTGCCTCGAACCTTGGTACATCCAAATCCTCTACCATCGAATAACATAATTCATTCACCGATACCACTTTCTCCATCTCCTTTCATTCTTGAGAAGACAACTTCACAGTCACCTCCATCACGATTTAAATTCTTCAAAAGAGGTACTCTGTGCCAATTGCGCTCGTTATCAAGGACTCTGCTTTGATCCTTGAAGGTTTAAGCTTCTTATCTGAAATTATAATCCCAATCCCCATATTACGCTTTATGCCATCGCGCATCCATCTTGAAGGAGCAACAGAGCGATACGACATCTTGGCTAAAGATTAGAGAAGGGAGAAAAGGAAAGAAGGAGGAGGACACCTTTCTATCTCATCAACAGAAGAAGAGGAAAACTTTAATAAGAAACACGCGATCATTACATTATTTCATCGATAAGAAGATTATCTCCATTTCAATCTCGACAACTCCGTTTGGTGCGACCGTCATCCAAAGACATCTGCGAACCTTACGGAACTTACGGACTTCAAACCTGGGGGAAGTTCAACTTCTTATTGAGCGACTTACACCTTTTAATAATTTATGGGACAAGATAACATCAATACTATGGCTACCAATTCTTCAATGAGGATAGGAAGTTGGTTACTATTCTTTCTAGCAATTTCAATAACGGATGCTTTCTACATACCAGGTACGTCTGCCGCTTTCTGCCATATCCATCTCATCTCATCTCATCTCACCCCCTTGTCTGCTAGATGTTAAACTCCGGACAATGATCTAACTGTCCTCCCATTCATATAGGTTGGTCGATTAAGAGTTATAAAGACAACGAAGCAATCCCTTTGCTAGTTAATAAGGTTTACTCCGATAATACACAATTACAATATGCCTACTACGATCTTCCATTCGTCTGTCCTCCAACCGGTGTTCGTCATGCCGGATCTTCTCTGCTCAGCGGCCAAAGTATATCATTGAATCTCGGCGAAGTCTTACGAGGGGACAGAATCACACAATCCGATATCGAATTGGTAATGGGGAAGGATCAAGAATGTAATTTCCTCTGTTCCAAAACGGTCACCCGAAAAGATCTTAAGCGCGCAAAAGAATTGGTTAAAGATGGCTATGTTGTGGAATGGATTGTGGATAATTTACCTGGAGCAACGAGTTTTGTGACAGTGGATAAAAGTAAGAAATATTACGCTGCTGGATTCAAATTGGGTTACAAGGATTTTTCTCAAACTGGCAAAGCGAGATATTTCATCAACAATCATCTTACAATCGTTCTCCGATATCGAAAAGCTCCAGGAAAGGATGGAGAAAAGGGTGGAAAGGTTATTGTTGGATTCGAAGTTTATACCAAGAGTGTTGGAGCTGATAAGAGAGTGGAATCGGGATGTCCTGCGGATTTGAATGATGTCGATACACCATTTGAATTATATCTCGCCCCGAATCATACCGATTCTTCATCAACCCTCGCATACCCACTTTCATCATATCATCCACCGGAAAGGGAAATAGATTTAGATGATGGAGCTACAATGGAGATTCCATACACCTACTCTGTCTATTTCCGTGAAGATGAAAAGGTCGAATGGAGAAATCGATGGGATCTATACTTCGTTAACCAAGAGGAAGGATCAAGAATTCATTGGTTGGCTATCGTCAATTCTTTGATTATTTCAGGTCTTCTTAGTGGGATTGTTGCTATGATCTTAGCCAGAACTGTTCGAGGAGATATTAAAGCGTACACAAAGGACGTCTCTGGAGAGGATGGAAAACCAAAACCAAAAAGAAGATCTAGACCTGGTAGTGGAGCAAGATCACCTAAAACTGGGGAAAAAACTGGACTCGGTTTATTGGATCAGGTTGATACCGAGAATGATGCCGATGTTTCTTCCGATGATGAGCAACTGGAAGATATTACTGGGTGGAAATTACTTCATGGAGATGTTTTCCGTCCGCCTCCTTATGGATATCTTCTAGCACCTTTGATCGGATCAGGAATGCAACTCGTCTTCATGGCCTTTGGATTACTTTCTCTAAGTAGTCTAGGTATACTGAATCCTAGTTTCCGTGGTGGATTCATCAGTGTCGGAATCGGTCTTTTCATCTTCGCAGGAGTTTTCTCTGGTTATTTCAGCGCACGTGTTTACAAAACATTTGGAGGTCTCAATTGGCGCAAAAATACCTTGATCACAGCCATTCTTTTCCCTGGTCTCCTCTTTTCTCTAGTCTTCATCCTCAATTTATTCGTTTGGGCCCAAGCATCTAGTACTGCCCTTCCATTCGGTACCCTCATCGCTCTTGTATTCTTATGGCTTTGCATCCAACTCCCTCTTGTCTATGCCGGCTCTTACTACGGCTACACACGTTCCGGTGCATGGGAATCCCCAACAAAAACGGCTATTATCCCTCGTCAAGTACCAATTCAACCTTGGTATATCCGTTCTACCTCTTCAATTCTCCTGGCTGGCCTCATCCCTTTCGCAGTAATCTTCATCGAACTTCTTTTCGTCTTTCAATCACTTTGGCAAGATAAAAGTGGGTATTACTATGTATTCGGGTTTCTCTCTCTCATAACTCTTCTTCTCATGATCACAATTGCGGAAGTCACAATCGTTACCATTTACATAAAACTTTGTGCTGAAGATTACAATTGGTGGTGGCATTCTTTCCTCGTAGGAGGTGGATCAGCAGTTTGGGTTATGGCATATTGTGTGTGGTTTTACATGAGAAGGTTGCATATTGAGGGATTTGTTAGTGGAATGTTGTTTTTCAGTTATTGCGGAGTCGTGGCTGTTACTTATGGGTTGGCAACGGGAACAGTGGGATTTTTGACCAGTTTTTGGTTTGTGAGAAGGGTTTATGGGTAAGTTATTGAAAAATTTCTTTTGTCTTCTGTCTTTGGGCTTAGTCAGTTACTTAAGTGGTTCCTTTAAGAAAGAGAGGGGAATGGATGACGATGTTCGCTTGTGGTGGGGTTGAGGTTAATGTTTAAGTACGAAGCTGATGATTTTTTAGTGCGATTAAAGCAGATTAATAATACAAATAAGTATGAACGAATAAACGAGTGGACGTACAACTTCTAGTTCCGATACCATTATTTCGTTTCTCGGCGTTTCGGTTTGGATGGAATAGGATTAAGGTTGGGAATAGGAATAGCAATAGCAGTTCAATTTATGCGAGAAGTACGAGAGTAGGGAGAGTAAGGCGGGGCAAGAGAGGAGAGGAAAGGAGCTACGGAAGGAGATGAGAAGGTAGGACAATAGGTGAGGAGGAGTGGGGTAGGTGGAGGTTGGAGCTAAAGGGGAGGATTAAGTACATTTACATATACATGTGTATGTACAAGAAATAGCGAAAAATGAAATAATTAATTTAAACCCAATTCTATTGATGTATTGGTGGATTGATGGATACCTATATCTATGTAGATTTGTATGTTGTATGTATATGCTTATGTATGCATTGTAAGATGCTTGATGTGAGGTGAATCTCGGGTTGAGGGTGGGAGGAGTAAAAGTAGGGAGAGCTGAGTAGGTAATAGAATTCGTTGATCTCTTAGTTGATGGGGAGGGATGGGGGGATGGGATGGGAAAAGAAGAGAAGAAAAGAAAAGGGAAGAGAAGAGAAGAGAAGAGAGGAGGATGAATTCACATCGCGACTTGTCAAAAGTTTGAGTTAATCGTAGCAGGTAGTTTGAACTTGATGCGAGGACATTGAAGGAATCTCGAGATGGTAGAATTTTAAATGGAAATGGAAAGGGATCTGGAATCTGGAATCTGGAAGATCCTTAGAGGGAGTGAGAAGGAGATGGGAGATTGGAGAGGGAGAGAGAGAGATGTACTTCGCAAGTTCAGAGACAGGGATATCAAATGGATTCCTAGCTTTTGCGTCGGCGGCTGTGTACAGGTGTAGGAGATGAATATGATGATTCTGGAATCGCATACATTTGGTGGAATTTCTCACGTTGAGGGTTGCGTGGCATGGGTATCTAGGTACTTAAACTCCTGTGGATAATTATAATTCGGTAGTAGAGTACGATAGAGTCTTCAGATTATTCTGATCGGTCGGCAGAAAATATGGGACGGCTTTGGAGATTCTGTGGTTTGATCATTGATACAAAGATTTGCGTTTTCTATTTTCTGGGACGGGAGAAAAAGGGAGGGGGGGAGTTGGTTGTGGACTGTTGATCTGGGAGGTTTGTGGGCTGTCGTCGATTGGGGATAGTTGTTGTTGTCGCGGATTTTGGTGTCAAAACTTTCGGTGATAACGTACTTTGTGGTTGAGAGTATTCATATAATCATCTTTTGTATATTCACAGTATTTTAGGAGTTTATGAATGAGCTCGCTTTTGCGACTTTGAGAGTGCGGAAGGCTGGATGGCTCAAATGCACTGTTCATGGTTGACCTGGGTTGGGTACCTCTACGTTGCAAGTTTTCTATGCCGATTCAAGGTACTGAATAGGGATATTAAATACAAAGAGATGGGAGAAAAGTTGAAGTCCTGGTGATTTTTAGTTTTGATTATTTGCTACACGGTGGAAGGGGGAGAAAATATTGGAGTGATAGTGGATGGAGTTGCATTGGACATGTGGAATGGGGAATGGGAGTGAATATGAGAGAGGATAATCAAACTCCTGAAGATCCCTAGGTGCTGTCTAATAGGTAATTCTAGCCAGGTTTGGATATCGCGGATGGTTATTTAAGACCGCCTTGAAGCTTTTCAGAAGAGAATAACACATTTCAATATTATGCACCGCGGAACCCACCTGAAGGGAAAAATTCTCTAGAATTCTTTAGGCTCTCCGAAGAAGTTGTTGATATCAGTTTGAAATTTGTTTGTAAATCGTGCTCAACGCAACTACTTTACTCGCGGAAGATTTCTTTTCGTTGCCATTTTCTTCTTATCTCAGCTTTCCTCTTTCATTTGCTGTCATTGAGTTATGTGTTATTTATCATCTATACTTTTCATCTCACACATCATATGTCAAGTCCCAAGGAGTGAGTGATGTTCCATCTGAAACTTTCGTGATCTCAAGGCAGTCATGGAGAACCTTTGAGGAATAAACTATGAAACCATCCTGTATCTGTGTGGTGCTAGGATTTTGTGAAGTGCTTGTGGCCACAGAGAGAGGCGTTCCGAAGAGTTTATATAAACAGTACCAGTCAAATAAACACAGTGGAGTGAATCTGGATGTACTCGAAAGAAGACGAAATGGATAGCATCATCTTGTACTACCCCGGAGCTTTATAATATATATTCACTAGACGCAAGCCTGATAGTTCCACGTATTCTTTGTGTTGAATGTCTATCATGAAGTCTTTGAAAGACGGAGTTATATAAAAGGACCACTGGGTACTAGATTACGCCATATGGTTCGAGAGCCATCTGACAAGAATCCTTAAGAAAAGAAGCAGCAGAGCTTGGAAAGCAGCGAAGTTAATTCCTATTCAGATGGATAACTAGATATCTCAGATCAAGAAGAGACGAAAAGCTACTTAATTTCCATGTGCTTGACTGTCGAAATGATATGGCTGTTTACTTATCATCACTGATGTATAGATCCATCATATTTGTCAAATACCCACCGATTACAAGTGGCAGTATATACATATAATAAACAACAAAAATACACCCTTGTACCATCCCCAAAATCGTACGGTCTGACTACTAAGATTCAGGAGTAGAAAATGTAATTTATATGTTAGAAAATCACTCAAGTATATCACGTAACTGATCAACACTCCAGTCCCTGTTGTTAAATCCCGTGTGCATCATTTCTTTGACCAGAAAGGTAATGGACCGTATAAGAGCTTAAATAGAGAGCCCTGGAGATCCTAGATATCATGAGTAAGTATCGAGGTAAATTCTCGGTTAAGAAAATGAATCACGAACATAGTTGCGCCGCACAGAGGAGTTATCATCTGATACATACCTCCAGATATCAATTGATTCGGAAGGACCTGTTTGATTGATAGCTCAATCCAGACCACAAATCGCATCATAGCTCGATCTTCACATTGAGCTCCACTCCTATCTCACCTTCTGTGTATATGAACCTATTTTCTCCCCCAGAGCTCACTTCTCTAATACCAAACATCAGACGCCAAGAATTGGATGATTAGGCTATCGTTTAAAATCCATCTGATTCATATACATCTCCATCCATCATTTCGACTAGACCCTTTCGAGGGAAAAGAAAAGGAAGGAATAGAGAAGATTTGTATACCTTTATACCTGTCTGCCTCAAAAATCATCAACGATAAATCTCAGGAAACAACAATGAGATAATCTCCAAGACTAAATTTCAAAGATATAACAAACATAGCGACAGCAAAAACATTCTTTTCTATATCAGATCAAATCACTTCACATTCCATACCATTCCATCAAACCCACCATCTTAATTCTCATCTCCCATCTCCCATCTCCTCCAACCACATACCCAACACTCCACCAAATCCCCTCCTGATACTGTCGATTCGATCTATCCTCCACAACCATACCAATCAATCTTTCAGCGTTTCCCATCTATTTATCCCTTGAATACGGAAACCAGCCATTTAGTGAATGAATGAAGTCTTCAAAATCTAAACCCAAAACAAACGAAAATGACCCGAGACGAACCGAAGAACTCAAGAATTCTAATTCGGAGAACTCCACCTCAAAGAATTAAGTCATGGGCGTAATTTACTAGATTAGTCGCGCTGATGGATAAATAGATGGATAGAATATATGAATTGAATATATGAATCTGATTCCATAAATCTGTATCCATGAATCTGAATATATACCACACACCACACACCACACACCACACCAAAGAAAAAGTCACGCAAGCAAGCAAGCAAGCAAAGCAAACAAACTTCTCAATCCCAGAAAATATATTTCTTATATGTATATATATACATAGTTAGTAATACAATCTACAATCTACAATCTACAGTCAACAGTCTACAGTCTACAGTCTATATAAAACAAGCTGATCTGAGATTTCAGATATTAATAAACTTCCAAGTTCCAGCGATTTTTGGATATTGCGTTGCGGTTGAGGTTGAGTTTGAGTTTGAATAGATGGATGGATGAATGAATGGATGGATGGATGAATGGATGAATGGATGGATGAATATCAACAATCATCTACCTATCTATCTATTCATCTACCTGCTCACCTACCCACCACTCACCAGTCATCTAGCACATAGCACATAGCACACACCACCTCCACCCACATTCCCCCAATCCATCTAAACACATACAATACCTACAATGCAGCAGTAACACAGTAACGCAGTAACACATAAGTGAGATTAACCCCTCCCCCTCCCCTACAATCTCAATTTCCAAAAGCACACTCGATTTCCTATTTTCTATCTCCAAGTCTACCTCTGATGTAGGATAGGTATACACCCACGATTCCTCATACCAAACTTCTCTAAAATTTCCACACTATTCATCGACCCATCCATCTATTCCATGACCTCATCTCTGCTCCCCCATACCAAAACAAAAGCAAAATTATAATCCCGCCTCGTTACAGCAGATCATAACTTATCATACAAATCGAACAAATCGAACAAATCAACCCGATATAGTATCATTCAGAACTATCATACACACACACACACACGACCCTCTCCTCTTCACCACCATCCCTACCCCTCAATCCCCATTCATCTCACTCTTCACTCCTCCCCACTATCCTCATGTTCAAAATATCTCGACCTCGTCCCCGTCTCACCCACTCTCTTAGCATTTCTACTCGGTGTTTTTCTCGTTGCCGGACTAGAATTTACGGATATCGTTGCTCTTTTTTTCGTTGCCGATTTCCTCGGTACTGATCTCTTCGGAGAGGGTTCTATTACTTCTTCCCCCTCTTCTTCCGCGTCATCATCCATTTCGATATCGGATAGTGAAGAAGATGCATTATCCTCAAGATCCTCATCATCCTCCGAGTCCGGTATACGTTTTCGTTTACCAGAAGTTTTTGGTATTGGAGCTGCTCGTTTCGCAGGAGGTTTCGGTTTAGGCTTGGAGATTAGAGTGGGTTTTCCTTTTGCGGGAGTCTTGTTCGTCGACGCTGCGGGTCTTCCTCTACTGCGAGGTGTTGGTGCAGGAATTATAACTTGTGGTTTTTTATGTTGGATTTCTTCCTCTGATTCTAATTCATCTTCCGAAGTTGGATTTGTCGCGGCATGTTCATTCCCAATGAATTGAAATGTTTGAGACCCATTAGTACCATTAGTCTCTTTTCCTTCATCTTCCACGATAAATCCACCACCATCTCCATCATCCTGTGAAGCAACAACTGGAAAGAAACTAGTCGAATGATGTTCTTCCGGTTCTTCCTCATCATAACCTTCAGGGAAAAAACCACCTGCCATTTCTTCATCTTGCTGTTGCATTTCCAACGCTTTTTCCTCCAATTCCGGATCTCCATCAACCTCCTCTCCTTTCTTATTCCTATTATTAAACGGATTAACAGCATCAACTTCTTCTCCACCATGTCCATATTCATCTGTCATTCTTTCAATAATTCGAAGTCCCATCAACATTTTCCTCCACATACCAATCGCTGCTTTAGTTTTCTTCTCATCTTCTTTTCTAACTCTTTCCGCTTCATCTCTTTCCCATTCTTCCATGACAAGATCGAAATTCTCCTCAGCAACCACAACACCAGTAATGATTGGTATAGCCATTCTAGCACCAAATTCAAATCCAGTAACAGCTTCCGCATAATCAATACCTAATCGTGTACAAATCCTCTTTGTACCTCTTCTAGGAATATGCACTGCACCAACCGGTACCATACTTGGAACATAAACGTCCATATTTCCATAATTGTTTTTCGGTATTACACCATTCTCAATTGGTGGAGGAATAATCCAATCAGTTTGATCACGACTATAAAGACCTTGTAACATTTTTTCTCCACTTTCCAACTCTGCTTCTGCAAGTTCACGTTTTCGATTTGTAGTCGCTGCTCGATATGGTACACGTTTTCTTGGTATTTCACCGGGTAAGGGTGCTCGACCTTCTTTATGCCATGTTTCTAAACTTTTACAACTGACGACATCTTTTCGAAGATAAACTTTCTCTTCTGTTGGATTGTCGCCTTTTCCTTTTACAGTGAACATTTTTACATGTTTTGCTGTATCAAGAATAGCTTCTTCTCTTCTAAGATGTCTTGCCAACACAAATTCTGACGATGTCTTGTAAAATTGAAGATTTTCTTCTCCTTCTTTCACTTCCTTTTTCTTAGGTTGAATGGCCTTGAGATCAGTAGCTTCCTCTTGATCATCAATCTCAGTCCTTGGGCATCTATTACTCCCTCGTATATAATTGTTCATGACATTTTTAAACCAATCATGTTGATCATAACGTTTGATTTTTCCTTTAGAATTGTAAACCGGAATTTTCTCAATTGGAATTCGATTGCCTTTTGTTCGACCAGGTAACATATGACCTTTTAAATATCGGATCGTTACATCCTTGGCCGAACCATCTGAACAGTGAGCAATAACATAAGCCACTACTTGTTTGGCCTTGTCAGCTTTTGCACCACGAGGTTCAAACTTTTGAAGAAGTTCAGGATTAGTCGCAATGATATTAAGAACGAGTGGATCGATAGCTGTAAATCTTTTAGTAATTGGGGATAGAATCTCAGTCCAATAATGTGGAAAGGACATATCTTTGTCAAAAGGTTTTGATGGTTGTATACGAGTTTTGGCTGGAGTAATATCAACTACAGATTCATCATCGTCGTCATTATTGACCAGGGAAGCTTCTTCGGAATCTGATAAATCGATTGGAGCATCCTTAAGCCCATTTCCGCGTGAACTTCTTCTCGTCGAATCATTGGTAGATTTGGTGGAGTTTTTTGGAACCAGAGTGGATTTTCCTCTTCCATTTACTTTCTTCGAGGATTCGGGGGGAGGCTTTGCTGTAGGCTTGGTGGTAGGCGTTGTAGTAGACTTTGAGATAGGCTTCGAGACATGCTTCTCTTCTTCACTACTCTCAGTATCCGATGTATTGTCCTCTGGAGTAGGTTCATTTCTCTTCTTGTCCTTCTTCTCTACAGCATCCTCATTCTTATTCCAACCAAATCCTACCGGTTGAAGACTAGCAACCATTCTTGATTCAATACCAATTCCCCTCAACAATGAAGTAAACAATTGGGCACCCACATCTCTACTTCCAGACATAGTTTTTGCACATCTCTTAAATTCATGTATATTGATTATCCTTTCGCCATGTCGTTCAACATCATGTTCATCTTTCTGGAAACCCTTCAATTCTTGATCGAGCCTTTCGAGAGACATATAACCAATTTTTCGTAAACCTGGTGCGACAATTCTAAATCTTTGCTTCCAATAATGCATCAATAACTTTAAAAGTCGAAACATAGGATCCCCACGACTCATATTGATTTCACCAGCCTCTTGTCTCTCGGCAGGTTGTCCCCAATCTCGTTGACTTCTAACATCGTTCTTTCCTTTTGTGGCCTTTCCTTTTCCTTTCCCCTTCGACTTTGGAGTATCTTCCACCTTGCTTTGTAAACCGCTATCCTTCCTCCATTTTTCAATCTCCCTCAAAATTGTTTCCGGTAAATTTCCCACCAGAATATCTTGTAGTTCTTTATCGCAAAGCCAAGAATTTCTGATCGCATTATGCCACATTAACATTTGAACATGGACTTTATGTGTAGCCATTCTTATACCCCTCTCAATTTTACTTGGTCCTTTCTTCGTCCCCAGTGGATTTGTAAGTGAAATCCTCGTTTCTTTCGTTAATGTAAGTTCCAGATCTCCTGTAGGTATATTCGCAGATGGTCTATCTGTTATATTTGTATCGACATCTTCGAATTCGATATCTTCGTCTTCATCTTCATCCTCATTCTCCGTCGCACCATCGTTGGGTTGTCTATTCGTATTTGGAACATCCTCGAATTCCTCATCGGAAAGGGACGATAAGGAACTTTCATCATCCTCATCTGTAGCTTGGATTTTGCGTAAAATCGCCTCGGTATCCTCGGGACTTTTTGCTCCAGCATCCAGATCATCAAATAATGTAGCTTTTCGTGGAGTGGCTTTTGAAGATTTGACTTTTTTGCCTTTATTCTGTTGCTTTGACGGACCTGGCTTGGGATCTGACTCTGGGGACGAAGAACGTAATCGTTTGCGCGGGAGGAATGGAGGCATATTGAAAATGTGTCACCGAAACATAATCTTGAGAAGTATTGAAGTCGATCAAGTTGATGTAGTAAGGTTATCAGAGAAATTCCAAATTAACACGAACTCAACACGAAGTCAGGCGTCGCGGAATTATCAAAGTTTCAGATAATGAGGTCATCAATCAATCAATCAGGTACCGACAGGGGTATGAAAGAGCGATCGATCGCATTGTTGGAATATGATGAGGAAAGACAATAAAGGTATTGATGATAAAGGTGACAATGAGGTTAATAAAGTTAAGAGAAGGGAATCGTCTAAATTTCATATGTAACAGTATTGATGAGTATGTAATATTGATATCTTGAACATCTTGAACATCTTCCTCTTTGCTGGCTTTTGAGGATGTCTAGATGTTGGATGTATGGGTGTTATCGTGGAAACCCGTATTTGCATGATATTGGATCGATAATGTTCATATTTACTCATACTGTCCATAGTACTCATACTGTTTATGCTGCTCATGCTGCTCATGCTGTTCATAATGCTCATGCTGTTCATAATGCTCATACTACCCATGCTGCCCGTACTCGTATTGTCATACTCTTCATCTATGAATGTTGCCTCGATTGCCCCTCCCCCTCTTCCTGCTCTACTTCAAAAGGTATTCTCAAATCCTATCCTATCCCAAAACTCCAGATGTTACCCGCGCCATACCAATGTATTCTTCTATTTATTCATCATTATCATTATCCATTGCATTATTATATGCAGCAGTAGAAGAACCTTCCATCCTATCCTCCGAACCAGATACCTTCATTTCATGACCATGCATTTGTCTCCATTCTTTGACACCTCGATTGATCTCTGCTTTATTAATACCATCTTTAACCAAACACATCTTGACTCCCAAAGATTCAACATTCCTATTCCTTGCCTCATCATCAAAGAACAACATATCTTTATATGCTATGCCCGTACTCTTTTGTAGTTTCGTAAAATGGGTGATCTTGCTTCCAGGATAGATTTCGAGTTGATCAAAGTATTCAATTGCCTTCCTCTTCTTCCCATCTATATCCATGACATGAAGTAATCTTAACATTTCTCTTCCTAGATCGGGAGCAGATGTGCGAGACGCGGCTCCCACCATTATGCCATGATTTTTGAGTTGTGCGAGAATGGAAGGGACTTCATTATAGAAAGCAAAACTTTCTCCCCAACGATCGGTCGTCGCAGAATGTTCAGAATTTGCTTTGATCGGAGGTGTAACATGTGTATCTACCCAGAAGGGCCATAACGTATAATCGAGATCGAATACGATAAGTTTTGGAAGGAGGAGGGAATCTGTAAATGTCGATGGAGGGGTATCGATTGAAGATATTGGGGACGGGTTATTGGTTTTCTTCAATTTTTTTCCCATGGTCGTAAATAAAAGGATGAGTAGGAGAGGTATGGGATTCGGATTGTTTGTAGGGAGAATTGTGTATATAGTAGTACTAAAGAATAGAATTAGTTTTCACGAAAGCTTGTTGAAGTAACCTTGGAAGTTGAGTAGAGAAGGAATCGAGGGAATCGTACAAGAGAGAATTGTCGTCCTGTATTTCCAGGCTGTTAATAAGGTTAGTGAAGGTTGGATGTTGCGAGGTTGCGCCGCATCATGAAAGTTTTAGCGAAGTAAAGCCTAATATGGGGGCGAAGAATGAAGAACGACACACCAATCTTCATCAACTACTTTGTACTTCTCCATGGATACTCTTCATACGAGCTTATGTCTCACTCTTCCCGATCATTATAAATTGTCTCACAATTACCGTTGACGACCATAAGCCACCCTTCTAGACTTTTCGATACATTATCTTCAAAAGGCATAGTAGTTTGTTTGATGGTACGATGAACTACCATGTCAGAAGTACATGAACAACCAAAGATTACAACATCGCGTCATCATGCTATACGTGAAGCACGACACGAGGATATTCCATTACTAGCAGACGTTGAACGATCAGCAGCTCAATTATTCACATGTTTCAACGTTCCCGTTGATGATTCCGTCTTGGATTCCTCGCTATTAATGACCATGTTAAAGAATCACCATCTTTGGGTGGCTGTTGATGGTGAAGACAAACCTGTGGGATTCCTTGGAGGTTTTAAAGTTGATGATGATTTCCATGTGGCTGAAGTCTCGGTCAAGATGGATAATCAGAGGCAAGGCATTGGGAATTCTTTAATGTATAGAATGATGAAAGATATAAAAGAAGAAGGATTTCAAGCAATCACCCTCACAACCAACAAAATTCTTCCTTTCAATCGTCCTTGGTATCAAAGTTTAGGATACATCGAACTCGAAGCAAAGGATGTCGGCAATGAATTGACTCTGTTGATTGAAGAAGAATCAAATCACCTTGACAATAACATTAGGTGTGCTATGAGAAAGAATATCTCATGATATTGAGGTAGAACATCCCTTTTCTCCTTCCAGACCGCCACCCGTGATGGATGAATGAGTTCCAAAGAGGCGATGTGATGATGTCTTCAAAGTATGGTACATTGATGTTCCATATTTCTCAAAGTAATTCCCATCAAATCTAAAGGTTCCAATCAAACAATACCTGGGGAAAGAAACGGCACTTGGGATATCTTTCAAGGATCATCTGAGCTGATCACGACAGTACCATGCTACTAAAGGTTGTAGAACCTGATAGCACATAGTCCGAAGTCAATGGGAAACTTACAGAAGTCCACGCGGATGTCCGCTCCGGGGAAAAATTGCCAATGCAATGTCAGAAATAGAAAAGAGTTGCGCAATTAGTTTCCAATCAGTACCTTTCCGTTAAGCTGGCTCGGCTGGCCAAATGGTTACACTTAGACAAGTAACACGATATGATTTCATCGGGGATTTTCAATCAAATTAATAATTGAAAATACCTTTGAGATATCAATTGTATTACATTTCCCTTTTACGCAAAGAAACCGTTTGATATTCTCTTTATTCTCTTATCGATGATGGTATGGGGTCAAGATGATCTGATCTGATCTTCTCTTGATTGAACCATTCAACATCCATGCTCCTCATGCAAGTCAATCTTCACCCCAAACTTGCCCCACCATTAACCTCAATTTAGATACGGGACTTTGAACATTTGTTTCTCAATATCTACTAAAACTTCTGTATAGAGTATTTTGATCTCCTTACCCATCATATCCAACTTTAGCAGGGTCAACATGTTTTACGGTAAGCTACATGATCTTGGTGGGTCTTATCCGTTTAATATGGCTAAGTCTACCGAGGCTGATAGGTTGGAATAGAAATGGGAATTTCTTCACGTACTACCGGTACTGATAATAGTACACAGTACTTTTAACTTATGTTGTTTGATATCATGGATAAGATATTGAAGATGGGGGTACGATTTTGGGCGACATACAAAGTAAACCTCAAGTACCTTCATTCTTATCATATTGTTTTTATCTAAACTGGGTGCTCCTCTCTTGTCTCTTTCTCCTCATTGATATCACTCAAGACCTGCTTGATACGTCTTAATCTCTCATATCTAGACTTCTGAATAATCATTGCATCTGCCTCAAGTTAACCTCGAATGTACCACAAGTTCATCACAATCTCACCATAAGTTCATCATCGATGAGATTCTACAATCAATCGTTCGTTTGAATCCAATATACCATTCACCACGGCTTGCCAAGATGGAACAAACTACGATTGATAAAAGAGATCCATCACTTCGGGGTCTTTCGCCAAACTCATCAACCTACAAATCAGAAAAAGTGGCTATATCCGATGGAGAGATTCATTCTCAATTAGCGGGAGTCAACGAAACAGGTCATGTTCAAGAAGTTGAACGGAACTTTTCTTTACTTTCTATATGTTCAGTTGGTCTTGTTACTGGAAATACATGGGCTGCTTTAGGTGGTAGTATTGCTACAGCTATCTAGTAAGTTGTTATTTCTATATGAATGGAAAACGAAAACTAACATGTTAATAGTAATGGAGGTCCACCGGGTGTTTTATATGAATTCATTGCTGTATCAATATTTTATTGGCTCGTTGCAGCTTCGTTGGCTGAATTAGCTTCATCAATGCCAAGTAGTGCTGGAGTTTATCATTGGGCATCAATTACTCCTGGTCCGAAATATGGTAAAATTTGTGGTTGGTTTGCTGGTTGGTGGAACACGTTTGCTTGGATTTGTGGTGCAGGTAAATCTAATCTCATCAATTTTCAAGACACATCTAACGTTCAATAGCTACGATGTCATCTATTGCTTCAAATGTTGCAGTTGCAATATATGGTCTCTATCATCCTGATTATGTAGTGGCTAGATGGCACATTTTCATCGGTTACATTATCATCACTTGGATTGCTTGTTGTATAGTCTTATTCGCTAATCGTGCTCTTCCAATGATTAATAATATTGGACTTGCTTTTATCTTGGGTGGTGTTTTGTAAGTTTTTGTCACTCAAGTTCTTGTGATGATTGACTAATTCTATACTGTCAGTATCACAATCATAGTCTGTGCTGTTATGCCATCCGGTACTGGTCATGCTACCCATTCTTTTGTATGGGCAGACTGGGCCAATGATACCGGTTATTCCAGTAATGGATTTGTTTTCCTTGCAGGAATGTTAAACGGAGCTTATGCTGTTGGTACACCTGATTGTGTTTCTCATTTGGCGGAAGAAATTCCAAATCCTAGGAAGAATATACCACTTGCAATTGGTGCTCAAATGAGTATTGGTTTTATTACAGCATTTTTATATACGATAACTATTTGTGAGCTTTTTCCTTGTGTCTCTCACGATCCTCCTATTCTCTTCGTCTGCTCTTGTTTGGTCCTTCCTTCGGAAGATACTAATTATTCTCTAGTCTACGCAACTACCGATCTCGATGCTGTATTGGCTGCACCATTTTTTCCACTTACTCAAATATATCTGCAAGCCACTGGGACTATTGCGGGAACAACCGGTCTCCTTTTCGTTATATTCTTTCCAATCTTCTGTACCCTCATCGGAACATATATAACTGCGGGGAGATGTCTTTGGACTCTTGCTCGTGACGAAGCAGTTCCCTTCTCAAATTGGCTACATGTAATTCATCCACACCACAAAAGTCCTCTCAACGCCACCATCGCTTGTGGTATTTGCAGTACTATTCTAGGCGTCATATATGTCGGTTCATCAACAGCATTTAATGCTTTCGTCGGCTCTTTCGTCGTTCTTCTTACTCTGTCTTATTTAGCCTCGATTCTTCCATTCATTTTAACAGGTCGCTTCAATCATTCTCCTCAAGAATCAGGTCCTTACAATAATAGAATGATTCCTGGCTGGTTTCAAATGAATGACATTGTGGGTTATGCTGTCAATATTATTAGTTGTCTCTATATTATTGTGTTTGTGGTTATCTATTGTTTTCCTTACGCAATACCTTTCGATGCGGCGAGTATGAATTATTCATGTCTTATTGCGGGAGCTTTGTCGATTGCAGCAGGGATTTGGTGGTTAGTTAAAGGTGGGAATTACAAAGGACCTCAAGCTGGTTGTTATGGTCAATCTGAAATAGATTCGGATGATGGGAGGAATGTTCTAAATGGTATTCCTGTTGGGGATAATGATGGTTTGCATAAAGCACTTGAGATTGGATCGAAATAATGGGAAGGGACTTCAGCGGTCTCATACCGGCATGGTGGGTTTTCTCGGTGCAAGGAAGCTCGCACGCTTCGCTTCTCGTGGAGTAATGAATGAGTTGTTCTAGGAGTTTGATACTTTTCTTTTTGGTGTTGGTACTTCTTATGAATATACTCCTTAATTACGAGGAAAGAAAATGATGGGGCAGGGAAAATCGGTATGTCTTTGTTGAGAGGATACATCTTCTATCGACTTATTTATAAACAATATCTTTACATCGCACCACTAGATTTATTCAAACAATTACCAGTAGACTTCTCCACAGTACGAACAAATCCATCCATCACACAATCCTATCCTCCTTCCGCAAAAGAAAACCACATCCACTCTTCCACTCTTCCACTCCTCTAAACAATTTTTCATCAAATCATCTCCTCGTTTAAAATAGCGCTTACTCGAGATTTTTCCCGCATGTTTATATATAAATCGCTCATTCGCACACCTCGTCTTTTTTTTAATTTTAATTCATTCATCCCCCAACAAAATCAAACGAAACAGAATCATCAAATCCCGAATTTTATTTTCCAATTCACGATATTATAACATTGTATATTTTTGGGTATTACATATTTGAATTTGAATTTCGAAATGCAGGATCCCATGGTTTATTTTGTTACGGGGGGAAATAAAGGTGTGTATTTGTATTTGTATTTGTATTTGTGTGTTTTTTTGGGAGGGGAAGGAGGGGAAAAGAAAGGGGGCCCCTTTTTTGAGGTGCGGGGTTCGCTTAGGGGTTTCTACATTTTCTTTTTTCTTCTGGGGGGTGGTGATGGATTTTGGTGGATGGTTTGGGTTTGGATGGTTTGGGTTTGGATGGGGATGGAAATATGGATGTGGATATGGATATAGATATGGATATGGATATGATAGTGAAGACGGGAATGGAAACGAAGATGGAAATACTAACCAGCAAATAAAAATAGGCATCGGACTCCAATTAATCCGTACACTTCTCCAGCGCGAAAATGCACTTGTTATCGCTACCAAACGCGCGACTTCTACCGATTCCTCTGAGCTGGAAGGGCTTTCTAAAGCGCAAGGCTCGAGACTTGTTGTTGTGACGCTTGCTTCGGATATCGGCGATGCGAAAGAAAAAAAGAGAGAGAATACTGTTGATGATTTAGTAGAGAGATTAAAAACCAAAGGAGTGGAGAAAATCGATACCTTGATCTTAAACGCCGGCGCGGCGACAAGTTTCGAAAGTGTGAAAGAGATGAGTGTGCAGGAACTGCAGGCGCATTTTCAGATTAACACGGTGTGGCCGATTCGGATTTATCAGGTTTTGAGACCGCTGTTGCTCGGTTCTTCTGCTTCTGATGAAGGGGGTGAGAAGAGGATACAGAAGAAGGTTATTTATGTTTCTAGCTATCTGGGTTCGATTGGGGGGATGGAAGATGAGACCCCGTCGATTGCGTATGGGATTAGTAAGGCGGCGGGGAATTGTTTTGTGAGGAAGTTGCATTTTGAGGAGGGGGAGAGGGGGGTTGTGTGTGTGGCGGTGCATCCGGGGTATGTTTTTGTTTTTATTCTTTTTGGGGTTTGGGATTTGGGACGCATGGGGGTGGGTGAAAAGGTTTCTGGGGATTTGCATAGGAGATTGGCTAATTATGGAATCTTTTAATCGGGATACAGATGGGTTAAAACGGATAATGGACAAGCGTTTGCGGATAGTCTGGGAGTGAAGGAGCCGCCGATGAGTTTGGAAGAGAGTGTGAGTGGAGTGATGAGACAGGTATGTTAAGTTCTTTCACATGGAGGATTGAGGGCTTTTTAAACTATTAATGGATACTTGCTAACGCTTAATTTGCGCGTGTAGATCGATATAGCGAGTAGGGAAACTACTTCTGGATGCTTTGTTTCTTGGAAGGGAGATGTGGTTCCTTGGTAGATGTAGATGGGGACCGGTCAGTGGATTGTTAGGGAAGTGGTGCTTGCTATATGGACTGGAATGAATGAACGAATTTGTTTACCTATTAGATTATTTACTCTTACTTCGCATAACTGTGCGGATGAATATTGCGTTGTTTAATTCTTTTGATCTAAAGTTTTTTATTATTTAAATTACTTATCCCTAATATACATAATTTAAAACACGGTTCATAACTGGAAGCTGATTGATCTAGAAAGTATGTAAGGTTTATACAGGAATATCAAAATGTAGTATTGGATTGATGTTTAACAAAAGGGGGTAAATAAATTTATAAAATGAGTTTAAATATTGTAATTAAAATCTTTCGAAAAAAAGTTTTTCAATAATATTATTTTTATAATTTTATAATTAGTGGTTATAAATATAATAATAAAGTTATTAAAAAGCTATAGTATTATTGAAGATTAAAGATTTGAAGATTTTGAAGAATTGAATAAATATTTCTGATTGGTTTAGAGGTTTGGGATTTGCAATAAGAAATAAGGAATTAGAAAGAGGAGGGGGATTAGAAAGAGAAGGGGGATTAGAAAGGGAAGGAGGAGGGGGATTAGAAAGGGAAGGAGGAGGGGGATTAGAAAGAGGAGAGGGATTAGAAAGAGGAGGGGGATTAGAAAGGGAAGGAGGAAAGGGATTAGAAAGAGGAGGGGATTAGAAAGGAAAGGGGGAGGGGAAGGGGATTAGAAAAAAGATAGTATTAGAAAGAGGAAGGGATTAAAGAGGATTAGATTTATAAAAGGGGATTAGACTTATTAAAAAGGATTAAAGGGAATTAGATCAATAAAAAGGAATTAGATTGATTAAAAAGAATTAGATTTATAAAAGAATATTAGAATTATAAGAAAGTATTAGATTTATAAGAGGGTATTAGATTTATAAGAGGAGATTAGATTTCTAAAAAAGGATTATATTTATTATTGTTTTTCTATAAAAAATAATATAATAATACATCTTTTTATATATATATATATATATATAGTTCTATATTCATATAGTATACTGGGAGCAAATCACAGGATCACATGACCAATCACGTGATCGTCGCTTATAAGCTTCCGAAAGTAGCCATACGAAAACGACTGTATTTAGCTTCCGAAAACGATTATTATTAGATTCCGAAAACGACTATTAATAAAGAATATGAAAAGGAGCTTTATTTCGAAGGAATGGCCGGATTAGGAAGAGATCTACGAGAGATAAACGAAAGCGTAAAGGCTAGATTAGAATAGAAAAGGTATATAATATGGGCTGTTTCCCTCTTAATATAGGATAAGCAATTCAATACCACAATACAGATTCCTAAAATATCACGTGTTTTTCATTGCTTTTTATTTGTTAAAAACTGAGCCATCTTCCCTTATAGACTATATTAGTCTAATCGCTCATATTCAATAACTCAACTCTACCTGCTTTAACCTAAATATTTTAAAAGGGATATAAAGGAATTAAATTTATTAAAAGAATTAGATTATTAGATATGTTATGATAGATTTATTGGATTAGTGATTATTAGAGTAATTATATTATATATTATGTTATTATATATTCTTTATTATTATTATCTATATTTGTTTTATATTGATTTATATTATTATTATTATTATATATGGTAGTTATTAATTATTGATTATTATTATGTATATTCTGTTATTATGATTATTATTATTATTATTATTATTATTATTATATTATTATTATTATTATTATTATTATTATTATTATTATTATTATTATTATTATTATTATTATTATTATTATTATTATTAGTATTATTATTATTATTATTATTATTATTATTATTATTATTATTATATTATTATTATTCTTATTATTATTATTATTATTATTATTATTATTATTATTATTATTATTATTATTATTATTATTATTATTATATTATTATTATTATTATTATTATTATTATTATTATTATTATTATTATTATTATTATTATTATTATTATTATTATTTATTATTATTATTATTATTATTATTATTATTATTATTATTATTATTATTATTATTATTATTAAAAGCTGCGCAGTACGAGCGTAGGCGTAGGTCCTGAGTGGCGTTAAAAATAACTACGGAGAGTGCTAGCGAGGCCGTTGTTATTTTTAGCCACGAAGGGCCGAGAAAAAGCTCGTATTATAAAAGTTAAATAACTAGAATAAGAAAGCTAAAGAGGAAAGAGATTCTTAAGGGTCTTATATAGTAACAATCGCCTAGTTCAAGCTAGCCTTGAACTTAAGGCTGTGATGAGTCATCATGTATGTCACGTGGTACTCGTCACAAGCACAGCTCTCTCTTTAGTCAAACTATAATATGATAAACTACACCCACGTTTCAATCAATTCATTCTCCACTGCGACCTATTTCAACATAATCTATAATTCCGAGTGTCCTTGATTTCATATCTTGATTGTACTTTCAAATCTCCATGTATCTTATCCTGACTAAATTATGTCAACCAACTTCTCGGAAATCCCCATCTTAGACCTAAGTCTAGCCGATGATCCATCCGCAAAACCACAACTTCTGAATGAGCTCAAACATGTTCTCTTGAACGTAGGATTTCTCTATGTGAAAAATCATGGCGTTCCTAAGGATACTGTAGATGAACTTGTGAATGTCCTGCCAAGTTTATTTGCACTTCCTGACGAGGAAAAGAATTCGATAGCCTTGGAAAAGTCACCACATTTTCTAGGATATAGTGGTATGGGAGCAGAAACTACTGCTCAAGTATCAGATCAAAGAGAACAATTTGAGTTTGCGACGGAATTGGAAGCATCATGGGTTGAAGGAGATCCAGTTTATAAAAAACTGCTGGGGCCAAATCAGGTGAATATCACGTGTGTGCAGATGCCGAAACATAGGTAATTCTAACATTAGGATAGTGGCCGTCATCTCTTCCATCAATCCGTATCATTGTTGAAAATTACATTCAAGTATTGTTTGAACTTTCCACAAGATTTCTTACACTCGTCGCTGAAGCATTAAACATTTCTCCATCATCACTTCACTCCTTTCTTTCCCCTCAACACCGCTTAAAAGTCGTTCATTACAGTCCCATCACCTCACCCAACAATAATCAAGGTGTGGGACCTCATAAAGATTCATCAGGATGGTGGACCTTTCTTCTCCAAGCTTCTCCTCCTCATATCCGTGGACTTCAAGCTATGAATCGATCAGGAACATGGGTCGATGTACCGAATATCCCCGGAACATTTGTTGTTAATATTGGACAAGCTTTCGAAGTAGCTACTAATGGTTTATGTCCGGCTACAATACATAGAGTATCATCGAGCGAGTATGATAGATATAGTATTCCCTTTTTTCAAGGTGTACGGGGTGATGCTACGAAAAAGAATTTTGAAGATTTATGGCCACAATTAGAGGGGCAGGGGACGAAGGAATCTGAAAGTGGTAAGAATATAGACTCGCCATTTTTGAGAAGAAAGTATGATACTTGGGGAGAATCTCAATTGAGAACAAAGGTTCGAAGTCACAGAGATGCGGGAAAGAGGTTTTATTCTTCTGTTTATGATAAGTATGTTAACGAGTAATTGTCTCTACAAGGCAAGACGTAATCTTACCACAGGACAATTTCTCAGTTGTTATATCCTTTAGGTTGTGACTGCAGACTTTGGCTTCATGATTTTGGACCAAAGCAACAACAATATCCATAGTTCTACCTACTTGGTGTTTTGAACTTGGTTGCAAAATTGCTATCATCTGAAAACTTTGCTGTGTAGGTATTCAGGCATAATACTCATCAGGTTTAGAGGTACTCTTTCAATATGAAAATCGATGCACTGATAGGATTCACTTGGGCAATCTCTGGGAACATGGCCTAGTGGTCAAAAATAACAATGCTATGATATGCTGCATCTTGTATTTGGTAAATCAACGCATCTTATTTGCTATCTTTATTGGGTATTTTTATACCGAATACATTGCGATTTTGCAATGATTGATCTTATCCTATATTATACTCAATCATCATCGTCATCCCGATTTGACCTCTTTGACCGATCATGAAGGAGTTTGGCCATAGGTACCACGTCTGTGAACAAGTGCAAGCTGGCGTTTGCTATTACTCCCGCAGCTTCAACAAAATCGCATCTTTCTCCAACCACTGCTCTTCTCCAAAAGAACTGTGTCATCGCCATACCATCACATATACCAACTTCAGGGATATCTCTCCAGCTATAGGATCTAGTCATCAAAGCACGTTCCATTCTGTACTCCCACCAGGCTTTAACATCTTCTTTCCTAAAGAGACTCTTGAATGAATCTCGTCTTGTACCAAACAACCATTTCCAGATTTTTTTCTCAAATTTGCTCTTATTTTGCAAAATGTGCCCTCGGGTAAAAAATGGGAACCCCATGTTGATATGAGCCGCAGGCCAATGACTTTCCACGGCTCGTCGATCTATAAAGTCGTAGCCGCCGATATGAACCACTAATGTCTCTTCATTAATAGAATCAAATCCTTCGGGATCCAGTACAGTTTCAAAGCCATACTTTGCAAAGAATCTTGCATCTCGAGGGCAGAACTCTGGATCTTGCATTAAGTTCCTAGCGTTTGGTGAAATGTCTACGCAGAGTATTAGCATCTCGATTTTTACCTGCTAGTATTCTGACCGACGTACCTAAGATCTCCATGAATTTAAGAAGCACCGCAAATTGCTGGAGAGATCTTTTGGGTTCATTAACAGAGCTATGAAGAGATCCTAATGCAAAACAAGCCACATTCGTTGGCTTTACTTTTCCTTTCATCATGTTTTTTATAAGTTTCCTGAGTTTTGCTTCATCTTTACCGTCAAGCTTGTATTTCTCAAATGTCGCATCTAGTGCCGACTCTTCCCAACGACGATATGCATACCAGTTTGTGCTAACTACCATTTTCTCTCCGTATCCAGACCAATCCTCTTGCTCTCTAGACATGTTTCTAATCAGATACATTTCCCACGACTATAATAATAAAAGGTATACGTACCTAAAGAACTCTACTTTCTCAGATCCAGGATACTCTGATGAGTATTCGTCTGCACCTTCATGTTCATGCCATTCATTATCACTTCCCAACATCATCCATTTCTTATCTCCATATCGAACAATATCTCCAATATCCCAATGACCTGTAGGTGGAGAAAATGATGTATCCGTCAATGGAGTAATTGGTGAGTTTCCGACTGCATTTATCTCCATATCTTTGGATTCTCCACTTGTAGATGGAGAATACATATCGAGAGTCTTGAAAATATCATTGTGTGCATCTGTTACCACACGTATATCCGTTACGCCGAATCTTCTATTATCTGGGAAAGAAGCCATATTGATGACTTTGATTTTGTTGTTGTTTTAGTTTCAGAAATAATTTCCGAGTCAAAGAACCAGATGTATATATGTTGATAGTTTCGCTTAGAAGTGGGGTCATGCCGTATGAAGAGTTTGAAACGGATAATTGAACTACGGTGAATGTCATGATATCTTGGTATATCTCTGCTATCCATTCAGTTATCTGGTAAATTGTGGTGAGCATCTAAATTATTCACTTGATAGTATAGTACGATACGGTGCTCTAAGGAATTTGAACAGCTAATGTACACATTCTTTCTGTGATCTGAGCTCACTTTAGATATTATCTTCAAAAATAAAAAGATCATCTACAGTCATTAATTTTTATTTTTGAGTGAATCTTTTTATGTCACAGTTCGATCCGTAATAAAGACACTGTAGAAAAATAGAAATCAAATAATTCATCGATGTTGTAAACTATGAAGAGAGAAGAGCTGAACTATGCAAAGGAGCCCTCCTTGCTAACCTTAATCCTAGTTCCATACGCCCCTAACATTCTATTCAAGAAGCATCAATATGCCTCTATGAATTATCTTGTCTAAGCATCCTTGAAATATCGATCAGGATCTCTTTGAGAAAAAAGTGATCCCACCAATCTCCAAACATCTACAAACCATTGAAATTTTCCTCCCACTACTTCTTTTCTCCAGAAAAATTTTGTATACCTCATACCAGTGCTAATACTACTAATCGCAGGAATCTCCTTGTAGTCATAAGTTTTTTGAATCGCCACAAACTTCTTTTTTCCATCCCACCAATCATCCATCGGAGGTATTCCTTCACCACGATACCAATTGCGAATTCTCTGTACAATCTTGCTTCTGTTTTCCAAGATTCCTCCCATCGTAATGAATGCTGCAGGCCAAGGACGATCCATAATTCGCTGATTCATACAATTATATCCACCAACTTCGAAGACTAGGGTTTCCTCGTTTACAGCTTCAAATCCTTGCGGGTCATCCACAACTTCGAATCCGCAGCGTGTAAGAAATCTCTTATCTCCAGGTGAAAAATCAGGATCTTGCATAACTTTTCTGGCAGTGGGTGGAATCTCTGTAGATTGTATTCATATTAGCTATCAGTATCCTTTAAATCAGAAGTTCATCACGAATCATTCATACCTAAAAGTTCCATAATCTTCATGAGAGCCGCCAATTGCCCAAACGATCTTTTATTCTCTCCGCATCGTTCAAAAGATCCCAAACCGAGACAGGCTACATTGCTCGGCTTCACTTTCCCTTTCTTCATCGAATCCAGAAAATCTCGAAGCATTCTCACGTCTTCGTGCTGGATAGATGTTCCTATCTTCGTCGCCTCCAAATGCTCCTCAAATAATCTCTTAAGTGTGACCTCATCTTCATGTTGAATAACCTTTCCTTCTTTCATCGTCTCTGAAAGTTTTCTGAGTATTTCTTCATTTCCATGCTGAATTTTGTATTTCTCAAACTCAATATCCAAGTTTTCCTCTAGTCGGTGATAACCAGTGTAGCATTTAGAAACTTCGAGTTGTTTTCTGTATCCATGGCAATGGTCTTGATATCTAGATTCACGCCATTAGCTTTGTGGGTTTTCCCATAACTTTGATAATAAAAATCTACTTACCTAAAGAAATCCGCATTCTTAAATCCGCAAAACTTTATTTCAAAATCATCCGGTCCCTCAGTTTCATGCCATTGTCCATCACTTTCTAGAGTCATCCACTTCTTGTTGTAGGAAACTATATCTCCAACATCACATGGAGCTTTGGGAGGGACGAATGGTGTATCTATTGGTGATGCGGTGGGTGATGCTGTGATTGTCGAAATTTCCATATTGGTAGTTTTTCTGTTGTCTTTTGGAGAAGTCATTGTTGCAATCGTTGTACTTGTGCCTTCTTCCGTCTCTGAATCATGGGAGTTTTTACTGTTTGTAGTAGTAGAAGTAATGATCGATTTAGACGCACCAGCTTTTAAATCCACGTTATTGGATTCTGTGATATCCATTGGAGAAGTCATGATGAAATCTTGACTGTGTTGTTGTGATTATGGAACTGAAAGTTCAGAATATATAATCCTCTGTGTAACTTCTTAGCGAGATCCTTGTATTGATAACTTCACTAAAAAGTAGTCATATCGTATCGCATGATTTCATCAGCATGTTTTTGAGATTCACTTACCTTATAACTTTCAAATAAATATGTATATGTAATCCACATTCACTGAAGCTAAAACACCGCATCTGAAAGTTCTGTCGATTGACAAAAAAACGAATATTATCTTCAATTTACCCACGTTTCACAAAAGTCATCGGCCTCATCTGCGGACTTATCTGGGCTTTAGTCGTCTGTTATGCCGCCTGATGTTTAGTTACCTATCTATCAGCACTACTTCAAGTCCTATGCAAACCAAACCCATGATTTATGATGTCACTATATCAATGAGAAATATATTTCTAATTCTTGACGCGTGCTCACGATATTTTGTAAGTTTCATACTGCTAGCAATCTTGCTAGCGAGGCTCTCTCTCCCTTAGACCCTCGCATCAATAAGATTTTGCTGCTAGTGTATAATAGTAGCTAGCCTCAAGCACTAATTAATCAACATATCTCCATCCTACCCTTCACTTCTCATCTCCCAAGCTCTCCAACAACATATTTACTCCTCATCATATCTCTCTCTCTGCCAACCAATCACCACCTTAACACTCACATCCACAACCTTCCTCTATAAACTCCCCCCCCCTCCCCCCTTCATCTCTTCTCCAATGCAATCGACTCCCCATCATACCCTCCCCCTCCCTACTTCTGGTATCATCTCCCAAGCAAAAAGCCTCCTCATCTCAATTCTCTCTTTCAATTTCTCCCTATAACTCCTCCATCCTTCCCTTCCACGATCCGATATTCCAAAGAACAGCCAGTAGTAAATATCGCAGAACGAGGCCGATCCATTATTCTCTCCGCAATAGAATCATAACCTCCGCGATAAAGAAAATATGTTTCTCCATTAATCGCATTAATACCTTCAGAATAAGCCACAACTTGAAATCCAAGTTTTTCCAGAGATTTTGCGTCTCCGGGCGTGATAGTCGGGTCTTGAATGATCTCTTTAGCAGTTGCAGTTACCTGAGAATAAATCACATTCTACCATTAAGTAAATCATAACTACATATGATATTCCATCTCCGCAAAAAAAAAAAAAGCACACAAAGTCTCTCAATCAACTTCACAACCCTGCAGTGGTAGAATCCGTAGTTGACGGAGTGAATACTTAGTTAATTATAATAAAATCTTTAACAATTAATATTATAATATGAAAATCGTTTTTAGTATATTAATCGAATTGATCTAATAAAGACTATTTCAATTAATAAAGTTTTAATAAATTTCTTGAATTTGAATTTGAATTTGAAAAGTTAATTCTGGATTTTAGTTTGAAATAATTATTTTTATATAAAATAGTTTATTTGTATTAGAATAAACTTAAGTTTTTATTTATTCAATATCTTCTATATCGTATAATATAATATTAAAGCTTTTAATTAAGAAGTAAATCAAAAATGAGATAAATAAATCTCTCCTTTAAACTCTCAATTAATACTTTTATCTATTCTTTATTTCCTATTCTCGCTCCTCTTATTTTTTAGTTTTTTTGTTTCTTTTCTTTTTCCTTTCAATTTTAATACTTATTCCCCTTTCATTCATCTTTCCTATACTTAAAATCTATCAGGAGCCTGCGAGCCCCTATACTCCTTGCTTTTAAAGTAAGTATTATATAATTGTATTTATAATTATATTTATAATTGTATTTATAATTATAAAAATACAAAAAAGAAATTTTATTGAAAGCTTATAGACAAAGTCGGTTTACCTTAGTATATTACTTTTTTTATATAATTAAATTCGGATTTTATTTTTATTTAGATTTAAGTAGGTTAATTTCATATTAGATTATTAATTATACTATTAAATCATAAAAGTTATAATATTAAAATAATTTTTATTAATATTAGATTTATTATATTTAATATAACTCTTTTCTAATTGATTATATAAGCCTTAACTATATCTATATTACTTGAATTTTAATCTTTTATAAAAACTTTAGTTTTAAAGTTAGTATTATAAAAATTTCATTGTTTAAAAGCGATTAGCGTTTTATATATGATTATTACTTTTCTTTTTTTTTATTCAATTTATATTAGTTTAAATAAGTTAATCAAATGATTTTGTTAAAACATCTAAGGGGTTATACTATCCCCTAGACTGCCGGCTTAGGACACCCTAAGTGGTCCGTGCACGAGCTCAACCATCAATAATTCAATAAATAATATTATAATAAAAAGCCTTTATATTAAATTTGAAATTTAAAATTTGTTTAAAAAATGATAATAAATATATAAAATATATATCTATAGTTTTTTTATTGAAAAATAATTGTAAAATGATTTTAAAAGATATTATTATAAATAATTAATAATTATTATAAAAATCTTATATTTCGATAATAAGAATTCTCAAATTTCTAATATTCTGATTAGTCAATAGAGCGAGGTGGTCCACTAGTGGTTGTACGGACTCATGGGACAACGTGATAGGAAAGCACAATTTCATATCAAAAAGAGCTATTTTAATAATTCAATTAAAATTCAATATATTATTGAATTCTTTCAAAATCGAGATATATAATTCTTCAAATATTAAATAATCTTTCGTTCAGATATTATTTGAATAAAATATAATTTGAGCTCAAAATACAAATAGTGCACTTTCTCACTAAATTTTTTAGTAGGGAATTATATATTTTATTATCAAGACTTCAATTTTGATTCTTTTGATTCAAAAACTTTTATGTATAAAACATTTATACTTAAAAACTCTTCGTTCGAATTTCAAGTAAACTCAGCTATAATTTTAATTTTAATTGAATTATTAAAATCGCTTTTTTTAGTGTCAAATTATGCTTTCCCTCTTGAGTGTCCCGTGAGTCCGTGCACCTACTAGTGGTCCTCTATTGGCAGTCTAGGGGATAGCTACAATACTAAGGAAGCTATAAAATCATTATAACTAATGAGATTACTTGAATCGAGCTTTATTAAGCGAGATTCTCTTTTTTCATATATATATAGTTTTCGGTCCTCGCGAATAGTAAGATTATTAAGGAGGTAAATCTCTAATAAAGCCCTTTAGGACTCTTATTTTCTTTATATTTATAAATATTCAATAAAAAACAACTCTCATTTTAAATTGAAAATATTTATTATTAATAAAATGAGTGCTTTATTAATAATAAATAAAATATTAATATAATAGTTTACATTATATAAGAATTTATATTAGATTTCTTTTTGTATCTAGATATTAACTTTACTGTTGGTTTGAGAGAGATACGGAAGACGTGGTTCCCACTATGTGTAGGCCCCTAAATGTCTATTTGTATTCAATCTAAGGAGCTAGCTAAATGAGGGGAATAGTAGGCCTTATATAGGCACTACTGAAAGAGCTAGTCTCCTTCGCTTTCGCCTAAATACCTTTAATACAGTTGCCATTGTATGGAAGTCATTCCCTTGAAGTGAATTCCTTTGAGTGAATTCCCTTGTCCATACATTTACTATTATAGAATAAATATAACAAACTAACCCAACCTCACTTTTCTATCTCTATCACTATCTTTATAAAACATTCTCAATACAATACAAATTATATTTTCCAAACACACCTTTACCTTCCCCTTTTTTATTTTATTTATTAGCTTTTTCATATTTTCTTGATCTACATCTCTAAATCTCGATTTTCCAATTTAATAAAAATTTCAAATTTATAATATCTTCCCAGCGAATATATTCTCTATAATCAGATCAGTAAAATAACTTTTTAAATTCTTATTTATAGAAAATAACTATTTTTCTATTTTGAGGAAAAAGATAACTATTAGTCAGTATTCGTACTAGTATTACTTATATTTCATATACTAATCCGCATAATAATACATATTGATTTTCAATAATATATTCATATATATAATATCAATATATATATTATTAAAGATATTCAAAATTGTTCTAATATTGAATACTACTGAAAATATATAGAAATATAGGAATTCGATTTGGAATGCTTATTTTTAATTTAAAATAGATTTGAAACTTATGAATACCTTTTGGAATATTCATTCCTAATTTATTTTGGATTAAAAATAAACATTCTAAATCGAATTTCTGTATTTTTATATACTTCTAATAATATTTAATATATTAAATATCTATTAAAGTAATACAATCCTCTTTTATTTATATGAGCTATTATATTAAAAGCTTAATACATATCACTATTATATTATTATATACTAGTATAAGCACTACTATTAGTTGTTTAAGTCTTTCTCTTCATTTGTTCACCCTCCTCTTCCCCCCTCCCCCTAAAAAGTATAAACATTATATTTCATTTACTCTAAATAATAAATCCCAAGAAATCCTCTTCCTCTTCCTCTTCCTCTTCCTCTTTCTCTTCCTCTTCCTCTTCCTCTTCCTCTTCCTCTTCCTCTCTCTCCACCTCCCTTTCTATTTCAATCTCAATCTCAATCTCCCCCAAATCCCCAAATCCCCATACCTACAAAACCCTACAATCCACAAAAATACAAAAATATAAAAATATAAAAAACTCTAAAAGAAATAAAATAAACAAATAAATAAATATTAGATTAGATAGATTAAATAGATTAAATAGATTAAATAGATTAAATAGATTAAATATATTAAATAGATTAAATAGATTAAATAGATTAAATAGATTAAATAGATTAAATAAATTAAATAAATTAAATATATCATGGGGCAGGCAGACAAGATCAGAAATCTATATTCGATGATATTAAGAATAATAGGTACAGGGTATAGATTAAGATATAGTTTAGAAAGTTATAATATAGGATTTTTTAATGTAAAGATATATAAAGTTTTTATTTATAAGTTAATCTAACAAAATCTAGTTTATTACTTATCGATTATATATATTTATATT